AATGATTCACATTTTCCCCTTAATTTATACATCATTTTTTACAAGTTTATGTTTCTTTTTTTTTCTTTTTTTTTTGTAAATACAAGTTTATGTTTCTATCTACCTAGAATTGCTATTCACCTTATATATTTTTCTTGTATTGATAAGTCAACTCTTCCATGTAAAAGTTATATCAAAAAAATTTCGAGTCAGCCCCCTCCACTAAATGTGTAGACATGAATTAATTTTTTTGGGTCCGCCACTGGTGATAATGAAAGTGAAATCTCTACTGAAAAGGTGAATGTGAAAGCATATATTTGATTATCCCCAGTATCGTATAGAAGAGGTTTAAAGCTTTACCCGGGACTCGTCTCAAATCAGACTAATCGTAAGTTTGGAATATCTTAAAAAAAAAAGTGAAATATTTACCAGCTACAATTTTATCTCAGGTTCAAATTTTTCATAGATGACATGGAATGTTATTGGACATTTAAGTGACTAGCAAATAAAAATAAAAACCTTGGACATAGCATATGCTATGAGTGTGTAACAATGACAACTAAATAAGCCGTCTACGAATCTCTTTTACAAATTTGAAAATTTTTGAAGTGGTTGGAAACACAGACTCCTTAATGGATGAAGAAGCAGGTGAATCTCTTGCTACAGATAGCGACAAAGATTTTGGAAGACGAGGTGAAGAGAACAAGTCATTCTCTGAAAAAGTGTGGCGTTGAGAGAAGCCAAATTTCCCAAACTTTTCTTTAGCATCATGTAGGTTTCCCTTCAAATTCATCTTAACCTTCTTATTCTTGGGGTTACTCCAAGGCTTATTGATAAAGGAAAATTTTGGTTGAGTTGAATCAGGTTTTGTTGGTTCATGCAACTTAACAGGTGCAGGAACAATTGAAGAAACAATGGGTGGAACAAAATCTAGGGCTTGTGGTGGGTCTTTGGGTAAACCAGGCTCCTCTTCCCATTTGAATGGAACCACACTTTGTTTATCACTGAAGTAGAGGCTTGGGGATTTTTCAGCAGATAATGATGGCTTTGCGGAGAGAAGTTTGCCCATAATTGCATTATTTCCATGGAGGATTGATTTTGGTGGAAAATCTTCACTGCCCATTTTGTTGCTAGCTGCTTGAAATATTGAAATGAAATTGCACACCATTTTATCTTAAAATAATAGTAGTGAGAGTTATGAGATATGGACACAAAATTGGAAGGAAATATGAATTAATGCCATAATACGTGGTAAAAATCATTTACAATCGTGACAAATCCAATCAAATCTTTGATTTAAAGTTTTTTTATTTTTTTTTATTTTTTTTATAATTTCCTTGCTTTCATCCAATCATTTTTTATTTTGGTAAATTCAATCAACTTGAATTTGCATGGTCTTATAGAAAATTTTAAAACAAATGAATTGAAAAGGGGAAGGTGTGAAATAAAGGCATTAATCTTGGAGTTTGAAGATTCTTTATTCAGGAATATTATCAATAGAAAAAGGAAACAAACTCCGTGTAATAATGGGCAAATCGACATGTTTGATTTTTGTTCTGGATGAACATAAGTATGGTTATGGTATTGCTGAAGTTTCCCTGGCGTTAGGCAGTTATCCTTAATATTTATAGCTCTGTCTTAGGTAGTTACTATAATCGTGAGTTGTTATCCTCACTATCATGTAATCGTGGTAGGACCCACATTTGGCTTCACTAGGCGGTTAACTTAACTGCTTCTCCGGGTAAAGGTACTTCCGGGTTCCGTCAGAGGTTTTCCTCAGCTAAAGATACCCGGATGTATTAACCCGGAACATTAAGCCCCCAAGCTCGGAGTTTAATGGCTATTTTTACTTCGAGTTTAGTCTTTATCTTATCTCTTACGATTTCTTTTACTTTATTATATATCTGCACCCTCATTAAATGCTTCTTGCCTATTCAGCTTCTGATAGTCATTTGTCACCTCCCTATTGCCTTGGTCTTCGAAACGACTTGACACTTGAACAGACGTGACCTGACATCCATCATTACTTTTCAAAATTTGAAACGACGGTTGCTTTTCACCTGCTTTTATTACCGCGTGTCTTTACTGTTTTTTCATTTACTCTTTCTCACTGTTTACAGATCAAGTCTTCTGCATCTTCTTCTTCCTTCTTCTCTTCTTGCATATTTCTGGTTCTTTCTTCTTTCTACATTTTCGTGCAATTTTCTTGTGAACTTTGCTGTAACGCTGCTACCTTTGGTTGTTACTCGTCATCCGGTTGTTGCTCTTCATCTGGTTATACAAGTAAGTTCCTTTATCTCGCTACGTGCCTTATTTTCTTGTTTCTTGCTTAATTTTGTCATTAATTTTGAAAAATTGTTACCTGCATCTTTAAGCCTTATCATAGCAAACTTGCTTATTCTCTTGAAAAAGACCTTTGTTGTCTTTATACCTTCATCTTCTTTAATTTTCCTTTACCGGCTTTATAGGTTCTGGACGGATTAGGAATCCACTTTTAACCACCATCTTCTTCAGTTGAAATTTTAACTTGTAATATATCTTCTAAACTATATTTCCTTGGTACCTTTCCGTCCAGGCCATGCCGTCGAGGAATCGTCCCTACCGTTCACTTCCACTTTCTCGCTTCGCACTACCTTCTACTGTGGAAGGTTTATAATGGGTTGATGAAGAAGCTCTAGGACTTCGTTTTCCATATGAAAACCATCCGAGTAATCTTCACACCGCCTTACAATCAATCCCTTTATTCCGTGACTCCATTATCACTTCTTTCCGAGTTTCTATACCCGGAGAAGAAGAACGTATATGTTCACCTTCTAGGCAAAGTGAGAATTCTTTCTTTTTTGCCTATAAATGTTTATTTTCTGAGCTCAAGGTAACCTTACCTTTCACCGAGTTCCAAATGGACGTCCTGAACCATCTTAAAGTCGCCCCCTCTCAACTTCATCCAAACAGCTGGTGCTTTTTACATACCTTCGAGATAATTTGTAGATCTTTTGGGTTCACTTACTCTTTTCGGGTCTTCTTCTGTCTATTCGTCGTGTTCCGAAATGCTATCGATAAAGGAAGTACTCGCCATAGTTGGGTTTCTTTAAAAGCCCGCCCTGGATTTCGCTGGTGTACTATATATAAAGACAACTGGAAAAATTTCAAAGAAGATTACTTCAAAATTTGTATACCTGAAGCTTTTCCGGCTACACCATCTGCCTCTTCTTCCTCTTCTCAATCTGCCTCTCCTTCTGCTTCCTTTCTGGATCAAGACGGAGCTCCTCGATTCCCTCTCAGTTGGAACCAACATCATTATACTACACCTGCTAAAGTTTTTAACTAACTCAAAGAATTTGAGTACTGATGAATTTGAAACTTTCACATGGTTCAAAAATCTGACTTCCGCGTTAGCCAAGCAAAATGTTTCTATCGTTCCTCGGTCTATTTTATCATATAAAGATTCTCCTACTTGGATTTGCAAGAAATTAAGTAAGTGACTTACCTCCTGTCCTTATATTATCATACGTACTCGACTTTTAACTTTATATTCATTGTATTTTTTTTTCAGATAAAACCATGGATCCGACCTTTTTTGCTCGCCAAAAACAAAAAGCTGCTCGCCAAGATGATTCTACTGCGTCTGGAAATAAGATTCCCTCCTCGGCTTCTGGTGAGAAAGAAGGCTCTCTTACCCCTTCTTCTATTCCGGCTACTTCCGCCACGGGTTCTATTCCTAGTGATACTATAATACTGGATATGGACCCGCCTGTTGATTCTGGAGAACTCCAACATAGAAAGCGAGTTCGGATCAATGAACCTAGTTCTGAGTCACCTATTGAGAAGTCTTTAACTCCTTTTTCTTCTGTGATTGCTACCCCTTTCTCTAATCCTCCTTTTATAAAAAAGTTACAACCTTGCTTTACTCCTGGACTCCGCGAAAAATGGGATAAGTTTTCGTTGGATCAATTAATTGCCAAATTTACGGGGATCCGAGATAACTCTCTCTGTGATGCCCACTACAATGAGATGGAGCTTTTAGCATTGGCTGAACGTCAACAACTGTTAACTGAACTTAAAGAGTTACAACTCTTTAAGAACAATTTCAAAGCTGAACATGCTCGCCTGACTCAAAGAGCCGAAGCTGCCGAATTTGTTGCTCAGGGGTTTCAAATTAAATTCAAAGAAATCGAAAGAAATCAAATGACGAGCTTACTACTCTGAAACGGGAAAATGACGAGCTGACAGAGGTTCGTAAGTGTTGAAGAAAAATTGCGAGGATTCGAACTTCCGAGTAACTGAATTGGAACTGGAAGTAGAAACCTTGAAGAAAAATGTCGCCTCGTTACAACAAGTTGCCGAGGACATGGACTCCAAATATGTTGCCTTTGGTCATCAAATTCGCGGCTGGGTTGTCGACCAAGTGAAGTTCTTCAACCCGGACTATGCTCTTCCTAACTTAGAAAAAATTGACACATTCAACTTTGTTGATAATGGCCGACTATGCACCCATAATGAAAAAGGATCCATTATTGTGCTCGCCACCTGCCCCTCCTAGTACGTGGGCGCGGCCTCAACTTCTGACAAGACTACCTCAGAGGACACCCCAAAAGATGCTTGAAAGAATGGGATGCCACTTATATTTTGTACTTATTTTGATTTTGCTTGAATGACTGTTTGTTTTGTAATGACTATGGTTTGTCTTTTGAATTTGCAGCATCTAATAGTAGAACAAGTATCTCTATGGGTTTGAATTCTCTTCTTATTGTCTGAAAGCTAGACAAATGTCGGGTTCAAGGTTTCTCTACGGTAATGGCATCCTTTCACACACCTAAGATGCTCCTCCAGTCAAAGTCTTCCTGGAAGCTTATACAGGTACATTCAAAATGAATATTTTAGTAAATTAAGTAAATAACTCTTACAAGAATTTCTTAAGCCTTTTCTGGTTTATTTTAAAACTTATTTGACTAGCTTATGATCCAGGTGCTTACACAACATCACGTACTCACAACAATGCTTGATGCTTATTATCTGCCCCCTTACACACCCCCACCCTCTCCATGCTCTCTTGCATTTTTATCTGCAAGTTCCAGTCTTTGACAATATAAAATTGCAGTAGTCATTTTTCTTGCTGCTTCTTGTGCTGATGCTCCTTGAAATTATTAATCAGAAAATTTGTCTACAATGCAGGATTACGAAGACTCTAGAAAAGCTCAGGCCTCCTTCAGTGATAGAACTGTTTGTAATTCACAGGTCCTCTAATAGTGTTTCTCTCAAACACTCAAACACACAAACAAGTCTCTGAATATACCTCTTTGAATTACTTTCTATTTCAAGCCTCTTTAAACAATGGTTTACATAGAGCTATTTATAAGTAATAGCAAATAACTAAGAATACTAATGACCAACTTAGGAAATCTAAACATAATAATGACTACTTCTTAGAAACTCTAAACTCATTAATGTCCACTAACAAATTCCTAAGGGACACACCCCTTTACCACAAAACTCTTCATTTTCTACTTTCTTTAATTAAATAAATTTTAAACCCAACAAAACTCCCCTGTTAAACTTTAATATCTCTAATGTCCTTCATTCCCATCTTCTTCTTGCAATTCTCAAACAACAACGTCGGCAGGGGCTTTGTGAAAATATCTCCAACTTGATCTCGGCTTGCAACATGAGTGAGCTCCACCTTTCCTTCTCTGACTTGATCTCGGATGAAATGAAACCTGACATCAATATGCTTACTTCTCTCATGATTGACCGGGTTCTTTGCTAACTCGATCGCTGATTTGTTGTCAACCCGGATCTCAGTTGAACTGACTTGCTCTTGCTCCAACTTGCTCAATAAATTTCTCAACCAAATTGCATGGCACACGCACCAGGAAGCAGCAACGTACTCGGCTTCGCATGTAGATAAAGTCACAATGGGTTCCTTCTTCGATACCCACGTGAAGGCCGTGTTTCCCATGAAAAACACATAGCCAGCTGTGCTATTCCTGTCATCAACATCTCCACACCAGTCGTTGTCTGAATATCCCACCAGCTTGTAATTGTCCGACTTCGAATAAAGAAGTCCTTGAGAGATTGTTCCTTGAACATATCTTAGAATTCTCTTTGCCGCCTTCCAATGAGTATACTTCGGCTCTTCCATAAATCGGCTTATTATTCCAACACTCAGACACAGATCCGGCCTCGTACACGTCAAGTACCTCAGACTTCCAACTAGACTCCGATAAACACTCGGATCTACCTTTTCTCCTCCATCATATCTTGAAAGTTTAACACCGGGTTCCATGGGGGTTGAAAACGGGTTGCAATCACTCATTTTAAACTTCTCTAAAATTCCTTTTGCATAGGCTTCTTGAGAGACGAAGATCCTGGATTTGTCTTGTCTGACCTCCAGACCAAGAAAATATCTCATCAGACCGAGATCCGTCATCTCGAACTCCTTCGTCATTTTCTTCTTAAAATCTTGAATCATCCCTTCATAATTACCCAAGAAAATCAGATCATCAACATATAGAGCAACAAGTAGAATTTTACCTCCTTTCTTCTTCACATATAGTGCATGTTCATACGGACATTGTTCAAGTCCATCCTTCTTGAAGTAATTGTCAATTCTTGTGTTCCAGGCTCTTGGGGTCTGCTTCAATCCATACAAAGCTTTCCTCAGTCTCAACACTTTTCTTTCTTGTCCGGCTTTCATGAATCCCGGAGGTTGTTCCAGATACACCTCCTCCTCGAGTACTCCATTTAAGAATGCCGACTTCACGTCCATCTGATAGATCGGCCATCCGAATTGGGCTGCTTGAGAGATCAACAACCTGATTGTCTCCATTCTTGTTACGGGTGCGAACACCTTGTCATAGTCAATGCCAGCCTTCTGCCTATACCCTTTCGCTACTAGCCGGGCTTTGTATCTTTCGATCTCCCCCTTAGCGTTCATTTTCTTCTTGTACACCCATTTAACACCAATAGGCCGACTTCCTTTGGGCAGCTCGGCTAACTCCCACGTCTTGTTCTTTTCTATTGCTTTAATCTCCTCCTCCATGGCTGATTGCCATTTCTCATCTCGGATAGCTTCTTCAAAACTCACTTCTTCAGAATCTGCCAACAAACATACCAAGTGTGCTTCGTTAGTTGAGTCATACAAGTCTTGCAAGCTCCTCAATCTCGGTTGTCTCTTCTTTTCATCATCAGAGATTTCATGATTAGCTGGGATATGGGACGAAGGTTGTCCGACCTTAATTGTCATTTTCTCGGGTTCAACATTCACCCTGGATGGACAACCCCAGTCCCAAGCATCTTCTTCATTCACCTTCACATCTCGGCTTATCAACACCTTTTTATTGACGGGATCCAACAACTTGTACCCCTTTGTCTTCTCATCATAACCAATGAATACAAACTTCTTACTCGTATCTTCAAGTTTCATTCTCAACTGATCCGGTATGTGTGCATATGCAACACTACCGAAAATCTTGAAATGAGCCACTGATGGCTCTAGACTGCTCCATGCTTCTTGTGGAGTTTTATCATTCACACTTGAGTGCGGACATCGGTTATGCACGTACACTGTACATTGTACGGCCTCTCCCCAAAATTCTTTCGGCATGTTCTTTGTCTTCAACATAGATCGGACCATATCCAGGATAGTCCAGTTCTTTCTCTCAGCTACTCCATTTTGCTGGGGCGAGTACGGTGCGATCAGGAACCGCCTTATCCCATGTTCTTCACAATACTTCTTGAAAGCTGTTGACACGTACTCCCCACCTCGGTCTGAACGGACCGATTTGATGTACCTCCCAGTACCATTCTCTATCATTACTTTAAAACTCCTAAATGCCTCTAGCACCTCGGATTTTTCCTTCAAAAACTACACCCAAGTCTTTCGACTGAAATCATCAATAAAAGTTACAAAATACTTCTTACCACTGAAGGACCCCGGAGTAATGGGTCCACACAGGTCGGTATGTATCAAATCCAGAGGTTGCCTAGCTCGGTATCTCGCCATCCTTTGGAACGGGCTCTTCGCATGTTTTCCCAATACGCAGTCCTCACAAAATTTTCCTTCAGAGTTAATCTTTGGTAGTCCCACTACCATGTTTTTCTTCATCATCTCGGTCAGACCACCGTAATGAAGGTGTCCAAACCGTCGATGCCACAACGACATCTTGTCCTCCACCTTGACTTGCAGACAGCCGGCCTCCATGCTCCTCAGACTCAGCTTGTACATTCTATTCTTTTCCATCTGAACTCGGGCTATCAGACGCCCTTGTATATCTTTCAATAGTAGAATTCGGTCTGTCATTAGAACCGAGTAGCCCTTTTCCATCAACTGTCCAACGCTCAGAATATTGCTTTTGAGCTCAGGCACGTAATAAATGTCCCAAATCATACCAACTTGTCCATCCTTTTGCAAGAAACAGATCGCACCTCGGCCCTTTACATCAATTTTGGACGCGTCTCCAAAAGAGACATGTCTGCTTCCACTATTTTCAACTCCTTGAACAGATGTTTGTAACCACACATGTGATTACTGGCACCAGTGTCCAAATACCACTCCGACTCATTCTTTGAACTTGTTTCACCATGGGCTACCATAAGAATTCCTCCATCTCTTTCTACAACGAGGTTTGAAGCCTCGTCAACTCTTCTTTCATCTCGACAATCCATAGAGAAATGCCCAACTCGGCCAAAGTTGTAGCACCTGTCCGAGTTGCAATCTCTCGCGTAGTGACCATACTTCCCACACTTATGACATTCTACATTATTTTGATTCGACCACCGGCCTCTTCCACCTCGGCCACGTCCTCTACCTCTCCAGTTTTTCTGACTCATCTCAGCTCTTTCTTCATGTTTCACCTCCTGACCTCGGCCTCGACCACCTCGGCCATTTCCTTGTCCACCTCGTCCACGACCTCTACCTCGGACATTCTGAGAGTAGAGCGCCTTTTCTTCCTTGATATTTGCTTTTGACTGGAGTGCTTGCTCCAGTGTCTCTTCCTTCTTCTTTTTCTTGCGCTGTTCATGCGCCTCAAGAGAACCCGCTAGCTCTTCAACAGAGAGCGTAGCCAAGTCCTTAGACTCCTCAATTGCACATACCACGTTTTCGAAGTCGTCTGTCAGCGACCTCAGAATCTTTTCAACAACTCTAGTCTCAGATAATTCCTCCACATTCTGTTTTAACTGATTCACCACGGCTTGAACACGGGTGATGAAACCGAATACACCTTCTGAATCTTTCATCTTCATTCCTTCCAACTCGTGACGCAGAGTTTGAAGTCGGACCTGCTTAACTCGGTCAGCTCCTTTATAGACATTCTCCAAGATGTCCCACGCTTCCTTTGACGTCGTCGCACTTGCTATCTTCTCAAATCCGGACTCATCTACAGCTCGGAATAACATGTATAAGGCTGCCTTGTCCTTCGCACGCGTCTCTTTCAACGCCTTGGTTTGAGCTGCTGAGTATCCTGCGGTAGTTGCAGGTTCAGCAAAACCATCCTGAATAACATCCCAAGTATCTTGGGATCCGAGCAACGCCTTCATCTGAATGCTCCAATTCACATAATTCGCCTTTGTCAGGCGGGGCAACGGCATACAGGAAGTGGTCACACTCTCCATAGCTCTGATACCAATTTGTAATTCACAGGTCCTCTAATAGTGTTTCTCTCAAACACTCAAACACACAAACAAGTCTCTGAATATACCTCTTTGAATTACTTTCTATTTCAAGCCTATTTAAACAATGGTTTACATAGAGCTATTTATAAGTAATAGCAAATAACTAAGAATACTAATGACCAACTTAGGAAATCTAAACATAATAATGACTACTTCTTAGAAACTTTAAACTCATTAATGTCCACTAACAAATTCCTAAGGGACACACCCCTTTACCACAAAACTCTTCATTTTCTATTTTCTTTAATTAAATAAAGTTTAAACCCAACACTGTTTCTGTCTAATGATGGTGATCAGATATTTGAAGGATGTGTGTGACAAATTTTTTTCATTGTTTGCTGCAAGGTGAGCGTATTTGATCTCACGGTATAAATTCATATTACCGCTTATTGCTATAATTTTGGAAGTGCTGGCTACTGCCTATGATATATCAATTAATTTTTCAATTCCCTAGATGTCTCATTGCTCGACACGATCTGACTAATATTGGTATTTAGGATGCAGTGAATCTCTTTCAAGGATAAGATTTATCTTGTGTCAATTGATCTATGAAAATCACAATATTCTAAATACTACTATGGATGCAGTAAAAGGGGATGCTATTTTTCTGTTGAGTTTCTTTATCAACCTTTTATTTTACAGCACACACAATACCATTCAAATGCATCTTCTTTCGTGAATTACAGTTCAATCTTAAGGAGGGGATTTCTTGTTTAAATCGAATGAAGGTATGTTGGAACCTAAGCAGTTCTTTTTTGTTTTAGGTATTTCAAAGAAAACGACTTCTCATGAACAAGGAAGGCACAAAATTGATGAGTTTATTTGCTTGGGGCGTTTTGCATAGGTATATGATTCCCAATGAAATTGATAAGTTGTCTTACCCAAAAACACAACTTAAATTGTTATATTCCTCATAAAACTATATTTGATTTTTGTCTTATCATCAAGCTAAAGTTTAATATTTTCTGTGAAGGTGTGGTGGGGTAGATAATACTTCAAAAAAATTAGGCCGCATACAAAAACAAGTTTAAGAAGGATGATATGGAAAAATTGTATTGTCATATTTTTTAATGGAACTAAGAAAATAATTTGTTTTTGTTACAAAATATTGATGGATGACGTTTTTGTATTATGAAACGATAATTCCAAATCTGAAAACTGTTGGTATTTATCCCCTAATTTATGATTATGTAACCACCACATAATGATGTATTGAATTGTACTTACTTCCTTGTTCATGTATATCTTATATAAGGATATGACTTTTATGTAAATACGATGATGGAATAAGAATCAGTATTCTACTTATCTCTTTTGTCTTCTCTCTTACTTAGTCTTGTAATATGTCACTCCCTCATCTTCTCCTATTATTTCTTTATTTTATAACAAGTTATCAGTACGATAGTCTCTTCCATATCAAAGAGAGATATTTTCTTATTTTAGCAATCAAAGATTCCATCTTTTTGAATCGAAAGCCAGAGATCACAGATCACCCAACATAAAAAATAAAAATAAAAAATTATTGAAAAATATGAGAGAGAACGTTTTTCATCAAATCTCCGAAGACAACTACCGATCGTCTCTTCTGGATCTCGCGAAGGCCGAACCATT